CGATTACGAACAATAAGGGTTTCAATGGCGATAATCTTCATGGTACGTTTCTTTCACTTCCCCTCTCGATTTTTTCGCTTCAGATATTGCTTCCTTGTTGCTAGCTTTGCCTGTGAATGATTGGTGTTTGATGGATTTTTAGTATTAGCATTCGCAAGTTTTCGCGATAATTTCCGAAATCGAATGAACAATTTCGTCTCATATCACTGATTCTTTGGAATTCTTTGAATAATCTATTTTGAGCTAAGATCTTTGGAATATATTGGCGATATAATGCTTCATTCATGACTTTAGCAAGAGTTTGTTGGACTGATGAAGTACTGGATTGTGTACATTTTTGTGTGCTTAGTAGTTCTTGTTTGATCTTTAAGTTTTACTAAAAAACGTAACAGGAATTGATGAATATGGAAGCCAAGATGATAGGGAAAGTGATGGCAGTTTGAGTTCCCCTGCTTCTCAAGGAAATGAAGAATTTGGGACAAAAGATCCGTCTGGTATGGTGAAGGGAGCTGCTAAAGAGATATCAGGGGATGCAGGTGTTAGGCAGGGACTAGGACCGAAAAGTGGAAATGGTGTTGCGGTTGAAAGAGGAACTGATTACGAGAAAAACAGTGTGGAAAAATCAACCAGTTCGTCTTCTGAGCACTGCACTCACACTGTCAAAAATGTAGCTTGTCAGAATGCTTGTGGTAATTCAGCTTCGGAAATCGCTCCCGTTGTTGATTCTGTTAAACCTGTGGTTTCACTCTCCAAAGTGATGGTTTCTGAAAAGAGTCCTGCGGCTTCTGTCTCTAAAGTAGTAGTTTCTGAAAAGAGTGAGCATGTTGAGACATCAACACAATCAAATTTGGTTAAACGGAAGTCTGATGTAAATGAAGAGAAGCCATCTCTGGCACTGGAAAAAGATAATGGTAAGGTGGTTACTCTTCCAAGACCTGCTGCTGAAACAAGCAAAATGATAGCGAGTGTCAGAGAATCAGAAGTGCCAGTATCCTCTGAGGATAAGGTAGCATATAGTTTCTCCTTCTTGCATTATATACATCTGCTTTCCTCTCTCTTTTTTCGGTTGGCTGAATCTAGACTTCGTGGTTTGCAGCGTCTTTTGCTGCCTGGTCCACCAGCCGTCCGGACTTCATGGTTAAGTTGCTGCGGGTTGTTTGATGCGATGACAGGATCTGACAGATAAACACAGGTTAGTCTTTGTTTATGATTCTTGGTAAATGAACTGTATCTGATTGAAGCTCCTAAGATAATTCTACAATGAGTGTTGTTCTTTCGATGATTCCTTAAATTCCTATTAAAACTTCATTAGAACTAGTTCCGTTAATCCTCTAAGAATCGGAATGGTTTTGTAAGAGGGTTCATGGGATTAGAATCTTGTATTGTTGGTGGCTCTTAAGTAGATTTTTTAGGTAAGAGTTTCAATCAGGTTATCCATTTTGAACACCTTTCTCAGAGACACTTTAAAAAAAAACTATTTCATTGGTATGCTTTTTCTTGTATTGTAGTCCTTGATATTGGTAATAACCAATCTGAAATATAAAAATACAACTCATGCTTGGTCGAGCTCAGTTAGATTAGTCTTACAGGATTTGAAAGTTCGTATTCTGATGCTCTCTTGTGTTGCACAGCATTCAATTCTTAGAAACCTTGATTGCAATTATATAATGAAATCTTTTCCCGAAGTTTTATTTCTCTTTGCAAGTCTTGATAGCTACTACCTTCATGTTGTTTATTTGGGTTTACCATCTACCAGTTAGGGTGAACTCATCTCTGATCATTTTCCCACCAGGAAAAGAATCAGATTATTTTAGTTTCTCTCCACTCTTACTTAGGTATCAAATCCTTTTGTTGTCCTTGTGTTAACCTTGAACAGCATTGTCTCATTAACATCTTCTCTACATTGTGCTGCGGAAGAGCAGGCGCTGGGTAAAGGTAGACACGCTTGCAGCCAAAGCTCCAAGACAACCGAAAAACAGAACTCACGGTCCGTTCACTCCTCTCTGTACATTATCTCTTTGATAGATAATAATGTGGGCGGCTTTAAGCAACATACGAATAGAACCATACATCCTAAGCATGGATAAATTTGTTTTTCTTTTTTGAAATACAGTCTTCTTTTGTTCATTAAATGGATTTTGGATTGATGAGACTACATATAGTTCTATTATTTTGTTCTCTATAGTCCATGAGATATACGTAGAGGTATGATCTCTAATTGAAGCCACAAAGTTTGATTTTATTCCATGAACACAAAGTGACACACACAAACACACAAAACAAGATTTGATCCTTTTGTACACAAAGAATGCATGAATATATCTTAAGCTTTTGTTTGACTTCCTATGAAAATAAAAT